TATAAATATGTACTTAAATCTAAGGCAATAGGTAAAAAGCTGGCTTGTGTATTTTAGTTTCTTGTGTCCTAATTCATTATGATTAGAATGGTAAAATGTTAATAGAGACAAGTAATTAGAGAGCTATTTATGTTTTAAGCAAATAACTACATGGGCATAATTTAATTGACAAGCTAAAGGGATTTAATGTAGTTGTAGTGCAGAGAACTAGTGTAACTCAACGGGATAATGCTTAAGGCTATGGAAAAGTTGAGGAGAAAATTGATCTAGAGGGTGGTCTTCACTTGTCACTTGTACGACTCGTTCAACTGAGACGTCTGAGTATGTAACAAATCAACAATCAGATGGCGAAAATTGTCGTGGCTACTAAGACTGAGTACGTTCTACAAGTTGCGAAAGAGAGGTCATAACAACTCTATACAGCCAAAAGAGACTACAAACAAACTTGCGATCATACCATCTTGATCAATACATAATAAACTAAGTTCCTAATGAACTATATGATAATATAAAATTGTGGACGCGAAAATCGCAATTACTAAAGAGAAAATATCTAAAATAATAAGATAAAGCAAGGCCCAGTACTACATACATCAATACACAGGGATATTAGATATCAGCTTAAGCAAGTGGATGTGAATTAATTAGGTCAAAATAATATTTGAGATCAAGAATCAAGAGGATAAAAGTACACATATATACATATACATGTAAAGATAAATAACATAGAAAACGAAAATACCTTAAAGTTTTCGATGTCTTCATCCAAATAAGTTATTTTATTGTAGGTAAGCAACAGCTTCTGTAGGCTAGTGAGTGCATAAATGCAAGTTGGAAGTGGACCTTCCAAACGATTGTGCCGCAGATCTAATTGATCTAAATGCTTCAATTTAGTGATTTCATTAGGGAGACCACTTGCAGTAAGCCAGTTTTGCTGGAGCATGAGGCACTGAAGGTGACTTAGCTGTCCTAAGCTACTAGGTAGGCTTGTCAATTTATTGTCATATAGAAACAAGCGCCGGATCCAACTGACCTCCTTTAGAATATTTCCTGGAATCGAATCAAGAGCCATATTAGAAAGGTCAAGCATTTCATCACCCACGGTTCTACATCGAGTGATTTCACGACTGATATCCTAAAATAAGATAGATTAGTTAAGCAGAAAATAGATATAATGTATATTTTTTGATGCAAGTGAAAACAAATAATATAAAAGCAACGAAGATAGAAGAGAATCGCACTTGTGGCTTATCCTTAGGATGGAAGGCTCGATGAATGTATTTGCCACCAGTTTCCAAATAAACAGTTTTTCTATGTCCTACTGGTTTTCCAAACGAAGTGCCTGAGAGAACATTAGTAAAGGGCCTGACAAACGCCCGCCTAGAGGGAATTTTGTGCTTTTCTTTGTAGTTTTTGGCTGCTCCATCAGATAGACTCCCCCCTGCCTGGATTGAGGCATCGTCACTTGCGTAATTATCATCCAACGTGCTTGTTTCGATGTGGAGTTGGTGGTCTGTGCATGAGCCTGACCTGACGATCTTGCTAGAGGCAAACTTTCGAGCAAAAAATCGGACACTATCGCTGGATGAATTTTTATTCATATGTTGGGAAGACGAATCCGAGGATGGCGTCACACTACTCGAGGCCTCCGACATGCTTGCACCCGATAAAAGAAAGAACCAATAGGTTTTGGATCCAGTCCATGGAGGTTTAAGGAAATAAAAAAAGCGTGGCTGTTAACAAGGATGAATAACGTAAAATATTTCAGAGTCAACAAAGAATACGGATGGGAGAGATACACTGGCGAGTTAAGAATAACAAATCAGAGCATTGGAGTGGCTAGGCTAAAGGTCGGTATTGCCAAGCCGAAAAGGTAAGTTGAGAAGTGAGCAGGACGTAAGGAAGACTTAGCCAATGAACCGTGAAAGGTAGATATAAATTAAAATATAATATAATATAATTGAATCACCGTCTGGCGCACAGGTGAATAACTGTTTGTTTATATAAATTATTTAAAGCCACTGTAAAAAAATATACAAATTAATTTAATAATATTTTTATTTGATTATCTTCGTTTTAATATGCTTTATTGTTGGTGACCATATCAAACTAGCGCGCCTTCACTGTCTGTCATGCCCGTTTCTAATACCCCTGAGTCCTTGTCCTCCGT